GTGTGTGTGTGTGTGTGTGTGTGTGTGTGTGTGTGTGTGTGTGAATATACACCAGTTACTTTATATTCAATAAAGATTAAGAAGCCAAAAATGGTAATTCACACCTATAATACCAGCACTTGAGAGGCTAAGGTAGGAAGATCATGAATTCAAGGACAACCTGAGCTATATAGTGCTAGATAGCCTTAGTGTCAACTTGACACACCTGGATAGAGAGAGCCTCAATTGGGGAATTGCCTCCACTAGACTGACCTGTGGCCATGTCTGTGGGACATCTTCTTGATTATTGAATGATATGGGAAGGGCCCAGCCCACTGTGGGTGGTGCCATCCCTGGATAGGTGGCCCTGTGTTACATAAGAAAGCAGGCTGAGCAGGAGCCAGGGGAGCAAGCCAGTAAGCAGCATTCCTCCATGGCCTGTGCTCCAGCTTCTGCCTCCAGGTTCCTGCCCTGAGTTCCTACCTTGGGCTCCCTGATGAACTGTAACCTGGTAGACATTAGCCAAATAAACCTTTTCCCCCACAAGTTGGTATTGGTCAGAGTATGTCACAGCAATGAAGAAACAAACTAGGACAACCACTCCTTGGCATATACCCAAAGGACTCATCCTATTACAGAGATATTTGTACAACCATGTTTGTTGCTGCTGTTTTCACAGTAGCTAAGAGATGATGGAAGGAACCTAAGTGCCCCTCAAGTAACAAGTGGTTAATGCAAATGTGGTACATTTACACAATGGAGTAAAGAAAGAAAAAATAATGAAATTTGTAGGTAAATGGATGGATCTAGAAACTGTTATACTGTGAAGTAACACAGACTCAGAAAAACAAAAGACATACGTTCTCCCTAATTTGTGGATCCTAGCACCAAATCCTTATAAGTAAGTACATATTCTGCTGTAACTTCAGGAACCAGGAAAATGGAAGGAAACCATGGAGGTAAAGGGAAGAAGGAACCTGAGAGAGAAGACTAGTAGGAGACAGGCATTACTAAGGGAGAAATGTGTAAAAAGGGAGTAGTTAAAGGGGAGGGGAGGAGGGCTACACAAGGAGGGCATAAAAGGGAAGAAGGAGCTCAAAAGAGGTGGGACCATAGTATATGAAAATTATCAAGGGAGAAATGGAGAAGATGGGGACACTTTAAATGGGAAGGGCAGGGAGGGAGGATAAGACAGTGAGAGAAAGGAGACATAAATAGTGCCTAACTAATATAAAAAAACAGAGGGAATTGTATTAGTCCAAAAACCTACTAAAAAGTTACACATACAATATCCCTACATGAGTCCGTGAGTACAGCTGAAGACTGCATAACAAGAAACGGTGCCAGACAGAGAAACCTTCCTTTGAGTTGTTGGTCAGGGTAGTCAAGAGACTCCCAAAATCACACAGGCTAGTATCACAGTCCTTGATTGCCTCCCAGAACTTGATGGTAAGATCCTATTGCTGAAGACGGGACATACTTTGGACTCAAGATTTGGAGCAACGGAGCTGGAACTGATCTGGAAGCCACCTCCCTCCAA